TATTGCGGTTAAGCATTGCCTCCTTTAATAGTATTGCAGTGAAGCATGAGTGCTATGAAAGCATTCAAAGATGTGTTTCTTGCACAGAGAAATTCATATAGTACAATATTATACAATATATCTAGTATTGCATTCAATGCAAATGTAAAAAGGGCCAAAACTGAACATTTATTGTCACACTTTATATTTAAAATATTATGTTTTTTTTATAATTTACAAAAAGAATAATAGTGTCTAACATAGCAAATATCTGGTTTTGGAACATTTGATGCAAATATAATACAGTGCAGCCTCTCTATACTAAACGGCCAGTTGCACGGCAAAAGTTTTGTTTTATAGGAAGGGTTTCTCCAAGGGAAGTTCGTATAAGTACAAACTACTTATAAACACGTTAAACATTATATTATATTTGTTGTTCTGTTATTACAAGGTTTATATGATAATAATTAACTTCATCAGTTACTTTTATATTAAACTAATTCAAATATGTTTTTGTTTGTTTTCTGTTTTAGTTTTAAAAATATGCCTTAAATATCGTTATATACTTAAATACTAGTTTCTTATAAAGAATGCTAATTTTGCCTCAATTTCCATAAATTCGTTTCCAATGGGAAAAGTTTCCATAAGAGAAGTTACATTATAAGAATAGGAAATCCAACAAATCTTTCAAAACCGTTCCTTATAAGGTGTTCCCCAAGAGAAGTTTCCTTAAGAGAAATTGCACTGTACATTATACAGAATCCTTTAAAACGAGTGATGACTTTATTATTGGTTTTATATTTTATTAAATAGCATTTGATGTCCAGAATATCCATTTATTTATATTTCTTTTAATTGCTTTATAATATGAAGAATTTGTGAAAATATAACTAAAGTTGTATTTGTTTAATGAATTGTTAAAATATTGAATAAATAAAATAACGCTTAAATTGTTTTTGTGAATAGAATTTATTTGTTTAATTAAATTATAATTATAGACATTTGATATTAACAACGAGTGACAAAACGATTCAATTTAAGTACAAATATTTGTATTTTATTAAATTTATTTTGTGATAAATTTCTTTTATATATATTTTTTATTACATTCTTTAGAGATTTGTTTCAATTTTTAGTAGAATAAAGAGTGAAAACTAAATTATAGTGATATTAATTGAATGAAATAAACACCGATCTTAGTATCGACTCAAAAGGATTTAACATAAAAGACAATTTGCACTTAAAATAATAAAACATAATAATTGTTGATTATTACAGAGATATAAAAAACTTAATTCAAACAACAAAATCACAAAATAAATAATTTGTTTTTGAGTTGATATTAAGTATTATTATTTACTTTATATACAATATATATTTATTTTTTGTGGATTTGCTTACAATTTGTCATTATATTTGTTTGAATGAATAATGTATTGAATAAATGCATTGAATGTCAGAAGCAATGCAATCAAACAAAGGTATCGGCGGCACAACTGCCACCAAAATAATAGTGCTGTCGGTTTGCACTACTCTTTCGTATTTTCTTTCTCGTCCGGCATTTAAACACTTCTTTGAGTTTTTCTCTAAATTTTTTGCCAAATATACAGTAAATGAGAAAATTGATGGTAGAGTTGAGACACACTAAGACATTGCTGAACATTGTGGGCAGAGCCAAGTAATCGGGTTTTATTAGCTCAAGACAATTGATGACAAATGCCGGCGCATTGCATGCTATCAAACAATTCAATAAAAAAGAGATTTTTAACATTATTTTTTGAAATAAATTGAATAAAATTGATTAAAACCTATGAATATAGCGACCAATAGTGTGAGCATTGAGGCTAAGTTAAGCTCTCGTTGTCGAGCGCGGGTCAGTTCACTTCGGTTATTACTGGCCATTTGGACACTCAAATAGATTTTGATATTCAATACACTTAATAGACTGAGAGGAATGATGTGTATAAGGGATAGGTTTAAGAAAATATAGTAAAACCAATAATATATTTTGCTTCGTCTAAGATTGGACTGTTTGACGGACTCGTCAGACATATCTATTTCTGCAAATCGGGGTAAATTGTAGACAAACGATGCGACCGAGAGAGCGCTCAGCGCCCATATGGCTCGGGAACGGGTGGACAACGTTAGCGATCTTAACGGATAACATACCGCTAAATATCGTTCAACGGTTATAAGACAAGTGGTCCAAATGGATCCGGTCTGTGATATTAATGCCAGTGGATATACAATACGAATGTAATGTTGTAATGGATTATAGAATGGATTATCATTTGTGGGCTCTTCTGTTGATTCATTGCATTCATTGTTGTCATAAATTTCCGTTTCATTTAACAGAAAAGTCATTTCATTCGTCGATTGAATAGTTTTATTACAAAAAATAATTCTCTGGGAATTAACTGAAATATACGTCTCGTTTGTGTTTAGTATATCTGGTGAAGAGGACGAGGGCTCGGATGATAGCACAGGTATCTCATCACTGGTGATCATTTGAGTTGGATTTAAGTAGAGGGCCGGCACACCAAGCATTAGGATACCAAACAGTAGCACTCCGTTATCATAGAGAGCCAATACTGTCAGATAGATGTTTATCGATTGCTTTCGCATATCTTTAACATAATTCAAATCATTTATTATTTTATAATTAAGTTTTTGTTTTGTTAATATACTTGTAATAATAGTTCATTTATTAATCGGTACATACAATATATAATTAGCAAATTTAATGTGAATACTATACTTACGCTGTTTTCAAATAAACTAATCTTACAACTTGTTAGTAATTTGAAACTTTTACTTTAGTAATAAATAACTCGTTATATAATATGTTAGTAGATTTAATAAATCCGCAATAATTATAATTGATTTAGAACTGCATTAAATTACATCTGCTCTAAGAATGTTGAAGTATCTGGCACATTTTTCTTGCAACATACATTAATTATCTAAATTAAACAATTTTAAGAATTCTTTAAGCATTTCAAAGTTTATTGTAAAATAATTATAATAAAAATCTCACAAAATTGTCATTTTTTAATTGAAATATAATCAATAATTTTTTTGTTTTAAAAATGAGTCTTATTTAAAAAACACAAAATAATCGTAATTATGACTTAAAATGCATGAAAATGCTTAAAATATATAATAATTTATTAAAATACTGCATACAGTACTGTAAATAAATTTGTATTTTATATAAAATTAAATAAATCGTTTTATAAAACAACGAAATTGACTGAAAAGAAAGAATTAGTTAAAGAATTTTACATTTAGTGAATTATATATTGTAATTCATTATTTAAATATAATACAGTATTATTAATACTAAAGGAAATAAATTTAAAAATATCCTAAATTACATTTAAATATTAAATATTAATAGTCTAATTATTTCCAATTGCAAGATAAAGTTTGAAACTCTTTTTTCTAAATAAATCACTTGTATTTAATTAACTCGTTTAGTATTAGATATTTTGACTGAAATGCTATAAATTAAAAATTTTAACAACTTCTATTGACTTAAATTGTATTTTTCTTAGAGCTTGAGTTTATTTATTTATTTGTTTAGTTCCTTGTTGAATTAAAAATGATTTATTGTCACGAAGTGAACTATATTTGTAATTATATAAACGAAAAGTTGTCAATTATTTGAAAGTATATGAAAGCAATAAATATACTGTATTATAGAGAATAGTTATATATATTATGATAGACGTAAAGATGATAAAAAATTCAATCATACCTTGATTTACGTTTAATATATAAAGAGTTAATGTATTTCCTAAAAGGCCAATAATACACAGGATTGTCAATAAAAGTCCAGAAATGCAATATTGAATCCAGAATATAGTTTCCATTTTAATCAAATGCACGCCTTATTTCATACGAAAAACTTTAACAATTTGTACACAAATTACTTTCTACGACATATTGACGGCTATTTCTTAATGGTTTAAATCTGCAAATTCTTGTAAACAACATATTTGATAATAACCTGTGTTGAAGTTGTGTTGAGTTTGGCTAAATTCACTCAATAACAAGTCACACACATATCAAACATCATTAAATGATGAATACTTTAAACAATATTAAAAACACCAATAGTTTGAAAGACACAATTAAAAGACAGTTTTGAGTTCATTTGACGCACATATAAATATTTATGATTTGTATGATAGGAATAAAGTGAGAATAATAGTAAATAATATGAATGCTATGAGTTTTATTCAAATCTATTACAATAATAGTAACAGAAAAGAAATAACACAACGACTAAGAAAATAGATTGAAAAGCGACCAAACATTGAGAGTACTGTCTCTGGTATTGATCGCATCAGTGATGAGTTCCTGTTACTCGACTCGTGTGCACTTCGGTTGTCGTGTCATTCATTGGCGTTGGACTCAGTGTTTTAAACTTAGATTTTATCACATCTTTGTATCAATGTTTTACATTTAAGCGCAAAAAACTTTACTTAAATTATTTATTTTTAACAAATTAATAGCAGAATAGAGGGTAAACCGATAGTTATGAATATATTTTGAGAGCTAGTGCTGATGGCAATCGGGATGAAACACTGGTGACAGAATTGGCATCAATGCTATCCATGCCATTCATGCCATTCATGCAATGCATTCGCTGCACAGCACAGGCCTTATAGGCGTCTTCAACAGGCATTCGCAATGCAATTGAGTGTTACGTATAAACGCTTCATATATTCATTTTCATTATAACGCCAACTCTTGTCAATTAGTTTATAACTTTGTTTTCCCTAAATTATAGCCAATTAATCCATACAATGCTTAATCTTATAGTATTGTAATAAATATTATGATAGGCTTTACCATTTTCTCCATAAACTAATCACGTGCTTCTTTTTATAGTTTTTGAATGAATAAATTTAAGTTAAATATAGATATTTAATAAGATTTTCTTATGAGTCGCGTATGAATGAGACAAATAAGAAATAAGATAAATAAGAAATCAATTTATTATATCGCAGGTCTGAACCGCAAATATAATCAAACATTTGACTATTTATGTCCACTTCTATGCCATCGAAGACGTCCTCCAATCGCTTCTCTCTTTTGTTAATATAATATTCAATACAAATGGTATACAATTTCAATGTTCTTACGATTCAATCATAAACACGAAATATGTTTCGTTGAATATAACCTTATATTTGTTAACTAATGTTATAATTGTTTGAATTGTATTCCAACTCATGGATTGATTTTTGATATCAAATGAATACAAAATTATTTAATGCCAAATCATACAAAAGCTTTTGTCTTAAATATTTTCATTTTTTATTTCACAAATTATATATTACTTATCAATTTTATTAAACACCAATTTTATTACTTTTATATTATATAAATTATATTTATTTCTCAATGATTGCAAATAAATTTATTAGTGTTAATCCAGTTTATTGAAGCGTTATTAACGTTTTACAGAAAACAATTGAATCGTAATCTTATGATTAAACGTGATATGAATTTATATTAAAAGACTGGAATTATTTATATATTTTTTATAAAACCAACGAAATGTTATATTTATTGCATTTATTATGTTTTGAAACAATTTTATTGTATATTCATTAATAATAATAATAATAAAATAAATTTTAATTCATTTAAGCCTAGTTAGTCTCTGTGTATTTTATTCCAGTCTTAACTTAATATTTATTCAACATTTTAATGAGTGATTAGAAACATAAATATTATAAATTCTTGAATAACTTTATTGTTTATTTTGATATGTTTTGTGTAGATTTGATTGAAATATTCAAATAATTTGAAAGTATATTTTAATTTTAACAAAATTGAAAAACATAGATAACAAACAAATTTGAAGAGAAAGTCATTTATCGCTTTGCAATCAAAATATATGAGAAGATATATAAGATGTTTATAAGATATATCTTATATAAGATTTGGTGAGATATCGATATAAGAGACGATCGCATAGATTATATGATATCATCGAAAGAGAATATTCACGAATAGAGTCACACATTAAGCAAAGCCTCTGAGGGTTAGTTTCCTTCTTATTTTCATTACTAATGATATGTTTTGACATTTCTTTAAATTAAGTTTTGCACACTATTTGCCCGCAAATTCATGCAGAAAAGTGGCAGAAAAAAATGTTTTGATGTAAAATTAAAACCATAAAAATGTACAGTATATTAATTTGTGTATAAAAAGTGCTTTTCATTGATTTTCATTGAATAAGAGTCGGTTATCTCATTGTGTCTTCGTTTTAATTAAAGCCAATCGTGACGTTTGATGGACAGTGGGTTCGCACAAACTTTTGTGTTAAGTGCTATCAATTAATGATATCATATGAGAAATCAAATGAAATGCATCAATAAATGTATGAATTTGTATTAAAAGCAAACATTGAGACTCAATTCATCCGACCCTTTGGTATACTATATATAATTCAAACATTTCCTCAAAAGTTCCGACAAATCACTCCATTTATTAATCAATACATCAGTTTTTATACAGTAAAGTATACGTTGAATTTGAATACTTTATCAATCATTATGTTTTTATTAGGAAATTATTCTTGTATAATATATTGATTAAATTACATTTTAAATATATAATAATATTTTATATAAAAGTTACATAACATTTAATTGTTGCACAATATGACAACATGTGATCCTAACAATAACATATTTAGGAAACTACAACAATTAAATATGAATTAGAAAATGTTTTCAGGCAAATATATTAAAAGTACCATGTGTTCACTTATTCTTAATATTTAGAATACATTTTTTGAGGGAATTGCATAAACGGAACAGAATTGCAAAATAGTTGCAATGTTTCCGCTGTAATGTATACTGTACTCAAACAATGCATATTTTTGGCCAATAAAATGGTTCAACATTTAAAGGAAGTCCGAAATCGGAGATATTGTAATTGATTTGAAAGAAGTGTTAAATTGTTATAACTTGACAGCGAATAATTGATTGGTTTGTGTCTTAAAAATACAGGCGATAATCTAGATATTAACATTTGTTTGCCTTAATTTAATTATAAATAAACATTTCATCTAAGTATTTAAGAGCTCCCATAAAATTAATTACACAATAAAATGATAAAAATTCAATTATTTTTTTCGTAATAAGTATCACATCATATGAATAGTTATATTAATTTTTCTACTGTATACAGAATATATTGCATATATAACATGCAAAGTAATGATTTAATTTATGCTCTCATTTATTATTGTTATGCAATTCTTTCATTAAATATAATGTGTTCAATAATATGCAAGTGTTTGATGATATGATATACACTTCACTTTCAATGGCATAATTTGTACTCAAAGTAGTGAACCATATATTAAAATATTCAGATTCACTCAATTCTCAGTTTTTGTATATACTGTGTGTTCAGTAATCATATAATTTTATTATTCACATCAAGACTGTGCAAGAAATAGTGTTAGCCTTTCAGTTACTCTCCGATTATATTTAAATCACTCATTTATTCATAAATTAAAGCATGTTTCATTCAAAATATACGATTATTTTTATTTTAATAGTGATTATTATCCAAATATATAATATTAGATATTT